AATGCAAGAATACATTTCTCTGGTTGAAAACAACTTTGCAAACTTGTCAAACAGTCCTCGTGGCTTGCTGCTGCTGAAGTGGTCACCAGTCACCAGCACTACCCCCCTACCTCGTAAAAAAAAAAAAAAAGAACGGGGGGGGCGGGAAAAGGTGGGGGAGAGAAGAATTAAATAAATAAATAAATAGGGAGAAACTTGAGCCTGAGAGATGAATATTTGTCAAGAGAGTTGACGTAAGTTTCATTTGCATAATGACTTTGTACTTCTGCATTAATAAAATTTGCATATGAAGCCATGTTAATTACTCCTGATCATGCTTTTTGCATTCATGCATAGTAATTTTCTCCGACTTGTGAGAATTAATGTCTTGGCATGGGGGGAGGGGGCGCGGGGATTGTCAGGTTTTCTTGCCAGTGGCCCTCACTCACAAGCGCTCGCTCCCTGTCTGTCTCCCTCCTTGATCTATGACTCATTTTTGCACTATCAGTAGGAGTTCTTGGCTTAAAAAATGTATCAATTGAAAAGCACCAGTAGGGAGAAAAATCTACATCTCCAGTACAGTGTATTCCAGAGCTCCTCTCGCCAGCTAGGAATCCGTAACCCTCCCATGTGGGAGGGGCGCCCGCGGATCCAGCATTGGGAATGGTGCACCTTCCCCTCACCACCAGGCTGGGGCTTTTCCAGGCGCGTTTTTGTGTGTCTACACGCCGCCGGTGGGTGTGGGCGTGCTCTCGGGGTAGTGCGCATGTGTGAGGATGAAGCAGGAACATCTGCAGGGCCCCTCTAGAAGGGAGACAGGTTACAGACACCCTCAGAATGCATGCAGTAAAAACTGCCTTGTACCCTGATTTGGAGCTTAAGAAACATTTTAGGGATCTTATTTTTGGACTTTTTTGTGCCTCTTTGTGCAGGAGGCATAGAGCAACATTCTAACCCCTGTGAGCCTCAGTTTTCTCATTCATGGGGGGTTCATAACACCTACTCCTGGACAAGGCTGCTGGCCTTAAATGATATATGTGTTCATTGTTTCTTTTCCCTCATGAAAGCCAACTTCCATGATCAGGATTTGAGCCAGCCAGGGTTTTATTTTTAAGCCACCTGGATCCTGCATAAAGCTGAAATGGCGTCTTGGTGTCCCTCTTCCACATACCTCAGGTGCTGTTCCAATTCCAGAGGGGAACCCACTTAGACCTCAAAAGAAGTAATTTTTAAGAGTGTCTTGCAGGGCTTTGTTGGGTGCCTTCTAGAGTCGAGAACACCCGACAGACGTTCCTTGCCAGGCTGTGGGGAGGGAGCCCCCGAACAGTTCCAGAGTGGAAAATAAATGGATGATAGTGGCCATTCCGTGAGTGTTCACTGGAAGCCAGCCTCTGGCCAGGCTTGTCCTGACCTTCCTTTAAGGGCGGGGCTCTGAGAAAGTGACTCACCCTGAGTCACGTGGCCAGGAAATGGCAGAGGGGATTGGGCCTAGGCCTCAGCTCCAGGCCTGCATCTGAGCTCAGGCTTCCTCTGTGTGTGTCAGTCTGTTGTCACTGGGCCTCAAGGGCTCTGTCGAGCATGTTCTGGATTTCCTGCCTGCACTTGAATGCAGGCGCCCCTTCCTTGAGGATGGGCAAGGGCTGGGAGGTGGCCTGGGATGGGTGCTGAGGCCAGACAGTCCTCACCTTGGACTTTGCCCTTTCAACCACTTTAAGGTGTACAGTTAGTGGTTTTGAGTGTCTTCACAATGTTGTGCAACCATCACCACTGCTGTCTAATTCCAGAACATTCTCTCCACCCCAGGAAGAAACCGCGTCCCTATTAGCCTTCACTTCCCTGCCCCCGGCCCCTGCAACCACTTGTCTACCTTCTGTCTCTGTGGTTTTGCCGACTCTGGACATTTACCGTAGTCACACAGTGGGTGGCTTCTAGCATTGCCTTCTGCTTTTGCTCTAGCTTCAGGAGAGAAGTTCTGGAGTTTCTGGAGTTCACCTGTGGGTTAAGCTGCTGGGGGTGGGGGAGGGATTCCCCAGGGCAGAGGCCTTCTGAGAGCAGCTGGAGTGTCCTCTGTGGGCAGCTTAGGATTAGAAGCCTCTCATTCTTTTTGTCCCCTCCCCTGCCTCCATTGAGCCAGCCCCTGGAACAGGTGGTCTTCGGTGAGGTTGGAATTCTTAGTGGGGCATAGGGAAGCCCCTCCAGAGGGCAGCTTGGCCCCCCAACCCTACCTGAGTTGGGGGATGACTTTGCCTTTAAAGACTCTGGCCTAAGCCTGACCTTTCCAGAAGGAGAGATGTGTGGCTGGACCTGCCCTTAGATCCTTCCTCCCAGCCTTGGAGACCTAGGTTCTGCTCCCTTTCTGCTTGGGCAGTCCTGAGCACTCCTGTCACTCTTTCTCAGCCATGGTAAATGGTGGTGGCTGTGTCACGGTTTCACCCAGAACCTGGGGGCCTGGATTTGCTCTTTTTCAGTCTCCCATGGCCCGACTGAGCCCAAGGACCCTCCGGCTTCCCTCCACGCCATATGGCCCTTCTTCTCAGCATCCCTGGGCGCCCTGGTCACTCCACACTAGCTGCAGCCCGAGGGGGAAGCATGGCATATCCAGGCTTTGGAGACACAACTCTGTTCAAGTCCCAGGTCTCTGTGAGCCTCGGTATCCCCTATGGGATGGCAGATGGTTTTCTCAGCTGAGTGAGGTATTGGTGGTAGGTGCTCAGCACAAAGCCGTGTCAGGAGCCTTCCACGGTGTGAAGGCAGGTGGATGTAGACAGGACTGAATGTGCAGTGTCCGGTGCTGGGGCAGGGGCTTAGGCGAGGACTGGCCAGGGCAGGCTTCCAGGAGGAGACAGAGACACTCGCCTTGGGTGTCGACTTTACATGGGTCCAGCACTGAGTCTGTGGCTGGAACTGTGTGGGGTCACTGGCCATGCCTCCCTTCTGGGGCTGTCATGGGCTCAGCCACGCCCTGGGCCCCAAGCCTTGCCTCGTGCAAGGTCTTCAGGGACTTTGGCTTCTTGGCAGGGCATTTGCAGGTGTTCTGAAAGGCCCTGGATAACACCCGGTTTGTAGAGGCAGGTGCTGTAGCGAAAGAGCCCTGGTTCTGGAGCCAACGGCCTGGGTTTGGTGGGGCTGCGGTCACGTCATCAGTTTGCTGGTCTGTGCAGTGGGTCTCCCAGGCCCTGTCCCCTGGGTATGTTGGGAGATTCAGGAGGGGGACTGACAGGATCCTGGCCGGAAGTGGGCTTGTGGGGCCTCGTGGCTCTCCTGGGTGGGGGAATCCCTTGTGGGGCCCCGAAGTGGGCAGACCCCCGCCCTGCAGGCCCGTGTGGGGTGGTGAGCGGCGTCGGGTGGCCTCCTTGGCAGAGCCGGCCGGGGGCCCAGCTGCCCTCGTCTTGTTGGTGTTTTCTTTTTGTCTCTCTGATGCTTCCCCGCTCAATTATTTACCCAGGGAATTTGGGCTTCTTCACTTGTGGTTTTGGCAAGGGCTTCACACAGATTTTTGCCCTGGTGGTCTCTTAGCCATTTAAGATAAACGGCCAAATCAAACGCAGGCCTTGCCGGGGAGTCGAGGCGGGCCATGGGTCTGGGCGGAGGCAAGAGAGCTCCTGGCCCTGCATCCTGGCTGTCAGATGGGGGAGGTGCCCCCAGCTGGCCCGAGGCGTGAAGAGGGGTGCTGGGCAGTGCCAGGGTTTTCTTGGGGTGGTTTGGGGGGGCGTTTAAAGCCTTCCGAAAGGCCTTGGGGCTTGTGTGCTGTGTGCTTGATGCTCAGGTTGCTGAGGAGGACTGTGGGCTGGAGAGAGACACCAGCTGGCCGTCCGCCAGGCCCGCAGGTTAACCGGTGCCCAGGTGCTCAGAGGTAGATTGAGGTGTCCAAGGCCTGTACCAACAGCCCACCTGATAGAGCAGACAGTGGTGGCTTGGAGCCTCCCAGCTCCTCCAGAGGGGGGTGGCCCAGGTTTTTGGGAATGAATCCCCAAAGGGAGCCAGCTCCGGAACACTCCAGAAGCCTCCAGGTTGGCGGGTGGGGGGCTTCCTGGGTTCAAGGGTCCTGACAACCTCTTTTGGCCCCGCCCCCCCAGGGATGGGAGTCTGGTCCCAAGACAGCCCATCCTGGCAGCTGTGGAAGGAGGACCCCATGAGACCCCCCACCCACTTCCCTGGCCTCTTGCCCCCTGCCTGTGCCCGGTCACCTTCCCTGCAGGGCCTGGCACCCCGGGGCCTCCCACTCTGGAAGGGTGGCCTGCAGCCCTCTCTGCCCCGGGCCCCTGCCCCACACCCCGGGTCCCTTGTACGGTCCAGGGCCCGACTGACCAGTCTTTTTTATTGTTTTTTCTCCAGGGCCGTGCAGGCCTGCCCAGCTGCCAGCGACGGCCCCCATAGCTGCCTCCTCCCACCCTCACTCATCCGTGATCACTCCACCTCTGCGCACCCTGGGCGCTCTGCCGCCCTGCTTCCCCCTGCCGTGCTGCAGCGCGCGCCCAGTCTCGGGTGACGGGACTCAGGGTGAGGGTCAGACGGAGGCTCCCTTTGGATGCCAGTGTCAGTTGTCAGGTAACAGACGGCCGCGGTCGGTGGGGGGGGTGGGCTCCCAGGGATGGCGGGGTGTGCCCTGGGCCGAGCTGGCGGCTGCCTCTCCCAGGTGGGCCGGGCAAGGTGGGGCCCCAGGGAGGATGTGCAGTCCCACCCCTAAAGGCATTTTGCGGGGGCACAGGGGGAGTGGTGAAGCACATCAATGTGCCCCTGTCCCCATCGGTCAGGAGGTCCTCCGACGCCTCCGCCCGTTCTGAGTGTCTCACTCCCAGAATGCATTTCTCCAGCTTCCAAATTTCATCTCTTTGGGCTGTTTAGCTAAAGCTTAATTGGATAACACTTAACATCTGAGGTTTTCTTCTGCTCTCGCCACTGCCACCCCCCCCACCCCAGTCACTGCCCCCCTTCCTGACGACAGCACTGGGGGGAAGACTCCCTGGTCGTCTGTGCACATCGCCGGAGCCATCCAAAATGCTGAGTTTCTCTTTGCCAGAATGTGTTGCCTATTAACTTTGAGACAAAAAAGTCACTCTGAAGGAGCCTTTGAGCTGTGGCCGTGGGAGGGGGTGAAGCCTTGCCTGTGGGGTGGGGCCATGCACCTCCCTGCTGTGTGCGTCTCTGCAGGTCTGTGTGGCTGCCCATCGTACAGATGGGCAGACGGGCAGCCTCAGCACAGCGCCCCCCACCTCTCTTCCCAAACACAACCCAAACTCCTGCTGTGGCCTGGGGTCCCTGGAATTTGTGGGCACAGGCCTCTCCTGCTCAGGGCCTGGTGCCAGGATGCTGACACAGACACAGGTGGTGGTGAGCGCCCTGAGGCCTGGTTTCCGGGCAGGGGCCAGGAAAGGGGTTGGGGGGGCGTTGCCGAGCTGGGGTCAATTCAGTTTGTCCCAGCTTTGTCACCAGGCACGTTGCAGGCTTTCTCTTGATTTGGGTAGTGAAGGGAAAACTGTCTTTCTGAGACAGGTTTTGCTTCAATTGAAGCTGTCCCAAGGGATGGTCCCTGGTGGAGCCCTAGCTCCAGGGGCAAGAGCCTCCTAGGCCTTCCTGCCGGTCGGGTGGCCTGCGGCCTTCAGCAGCTCCTGCTGTGGGGTATGGTGGCCTTGTAGGTACTGGGCTAATGCAGTGAATGCACAAAGCAAAGACTAAAATTGTCCAGGAAGGCGTTGGCTCCACGGGCAAATCGGCCGACTCCCTGCCCTAGGCCCCCCGAGCGCCCCGGGGGATTGGGGCTCCCATCCCAGCTCTGTAGGGCTGCGCTGTGATCTCTGCTTGCTGAGCGAGGGATGCCTGCTTCGTCCGGGTGCTTGCCCCGCTCTCGTGGCTTCCTGTAATTAGTGCGGCAGCCCCTGCAGCCACGCGGGGAGTCGCGCTATCAAAGATCAGCCTGAGTGTTTCTGACTAGACTCGGTCAAGTTCCGTGGTACAGAAACATGATTTCCCTGGCAGAGGTGCGCCCGGGGCTTCACTTAACCCTCTGTTGGCTCTGGTAGCAACACGTCCTCCCACGCTTGCCCTCAGCCACAGTGCCACCCCCTTCCTTCAAGGGACCACGTGTGGAGGGCCTACTGTGTGCGGGATTGCACTGGGCCTTTTGTGTGCATTCTTGAATTTAATCCCCATAGTGACCTTCGGAGGTAGGTTCTCTTCTCTCCACTTTCCAGATGAGAAAGTGAGGCTCGGAGATGTGGAGTTCTCATAGCCCACGTTCAATCACTCTTTTAGGAAAAGCCCTTTCTTGGGCACCTCATTTGTAGGCGCTGTGCAAACCAAGGTGGAGTCAGGCACAGCAGGTCCGGCCCTGCTGCAGCTTGCAGGGGTGGAGATGGGGAGCGTGGGAATGGGGACCTGCAGAGAGGACTCTTGGAAGGGGGCGGAGGGGCAGAGGTGGGATTTGACCCTGGCTGGTCATCCAGAACCTGCTTCATCTCTGACATTGGTTCATCTGGCTTAGAGGCCCTCTTGGATTTTAGAACTTGATGCCATGAGGGCTTAGAGTCCTCGAGCAGCCCCCAAACTGATGTCACTGTCCAGGGAGGGGAGCGAGGCAGGGTGGGCTCTGTTCCTGGGGTCTCTGGGACCACCCTTCCCGACCCTCCTCGGAGGCCTGCTCTTGGGCCTCTGACGCTTGGCCGTGATTTCCAGCACTGTCCTCTTTCACTGTTGGATCCCCGCTAATTAGCCTGCTCGAGGTTGTCCCTCCATACTTTCTGATCAGTTTCAGTACCTGAAAATATCCTGTTCCGGAGGTTTTTGTCCCTTTGTGGCTTCTGTCCCTGGCACTGGGCTGTTTGCTGAAGTGTTTTTAGTGCCTGTTTAATTAGTAGTTGGAATGGAGTCATTAAATTCACAGTAACCCGTTAGGAAGAAGCAGCCCTCTGTAAAGACGGAGAGGGGCCACCGTCCTTACTTTGTTTTGTCTCTTTTCAGATCAGGATGCACTGAACCTATCTCTTCAAATTAATACGGAAAACCCTGGAGTAACCGTGTTTCACACAGGTTAATTGCATGCCCGTGAAGGCATTCACAGTTATTTATAGAAGGATGTAATTTTTATGGGGGAGCAAGCCACACAGGTTTGTGTGTTTGTGTACCTCTCTGGCTGGCAGCGTCCCAGACAGCCCCGCCTCCTGGGACCTCCACCCCAGACCTCCGGATGGTCACAGTGGGGTGGGGAGGAGGCACTTGGGCTCTTCATTGCTTTTTGACTCTGCTGAGATATTGGGAAGGTGAGAGGACTTTGAGTGTGGGCATTCCTGGAAACTGAAGTTTCTTCCCCGAGACATTTCATGGAGGAACTATCCAGGGCGCCCATGGAGTCGAGAAGCTCGGGCTGTGGTCCTGGCCCTCGCTCCACCTGGCTGGTGACCTTGAAGAAGCTGTTCTCCCTCTCTGGGGCTGTTTCCTCTTCTGTAATAAAAAATATAAATGCATCTACACACGTACATATGTATCACGTGATATATACGTAACGTTTAAAAATGAGGCTCCACATTTGACTTCTAAAACAGATTCTATTGATCTATCTAACAGATCTATCTGTTTCAGTTACTGGCTGCTGTGGATGACTGGGCATGTGACTTAGCTCAGGTCTCCAGGGCAGGGGTGTGGTGGTCACAGGCCGGTTCCGAAACCTCTGGGCCTTGGCTCCCCTGAACCGTTCCCCATTCCAGGGTTTCCATGACTGTCAGGCAGTCATCAGAGTGCATCCCCTGCCCGAGTCAAGGCTGCTGTTCTGTATGGTTTTGGGACCTCGTTTTCCTCCTTGTTCCTCAGTTTTCCCACCTATAAAATGGGGGTGATGATAGTTTATGCCTTGAAAGCTTGTTTTGAGGATCAGATGAGGTCATATTTGCTAGGTGCTGAGACCAGTGCCTCATGCTAAGTGAGCCCTGTAGAAGTTCTGATTCATGCTTGAGCAGAATGAGTTTTACAACAGTACACAGTTACGTGTCTGAGATTTTACATCAGGCTCGATCTCCAGGTTCCATTCTTAAAGGCATTTAGCCTCTTGGCTGGCTCAGATCATGTACCAGCATCGTGAGGTGGAAAAGGAACCTAGAAACTTCATTGCATATTTAAAAGCCGCAAATGGTCATCTGCTACTGTGATTAATACATGTGCTCGGTGAAGTTCAAGGTCTCACGCAAGAACACACAGGATCCCAGCTCGGGGAAGTGGAAGTGTTTGGATTTAATAGAAGGAGTCAGTTGCAGTCATTAGTAGATGCTGAAATCACAGGGCAATCTTGTAAAGTTAAATTCAATTTACTTTTCTACTGAAATTGCTTGCTGTGTTATTTAACTAGTCTGGGGTTTCTTGGCATGGGTTAAAGGGACAATAAAGATAAAAGAATACCTGTAAGTAAATAGTAGGGTGTAACAGTAGAATCTATCGTGTACTCCTCCTTCAATTATATCCCAGTGTTCATTTGTGTTGGTTTTTTATAACCGGAGCCATCCAATGGGACACTGTGGATTAGACCACCCTAGCTGTGGAAGCTTGATGCAATTAATACAGTCTGTCTGGAAAGTGGCCTTATTTCTGGAAGTTTTATGTTAATGATATGGTCTGTGCTTTGCACATTTCATACCAGAACAAGAAGCACGCTGTAGTTTCATTCTGAACTGGGTTTGATTAACACCGGAGGATCGGTGGGAAGCCAAAGGGTGATGCTGACCGAGATGGCAGCGCCCACCAGGCCCCTGCGGGTGCACTGCCCCTGTTCTGGTGCAGGGGTGCAGGGCCTCCCCAGTAGGACATGAGAGCCTCCGTGGAGACTCTGGAGGGAGGGGTGAATATGGGGGGGTGGAAGAAGAAGAGAAGTGAGTGTGGATGAACGTGTGTGGACAGAAGCACTCCATCTGGGGAAGGTTCGAGACGTGCTCTTGTGATTCCCTCCACAAAGTCGCGTTTGCTGTGAGTCTTTTGGGGCTAACCAGGTCCCAGTGTCAATGGGGGTTGGCTCACTGGAGGAAAAGGGCTCTCAGGGGAGTCATTAAAAATTTAAAGAGTCATCTGTACGCCTTGCGATGTCTACAGTGCCGAGGGGGCTGGTGGTCCGGCATTTACAACCCGAGGGTGATTCTTGCATGCCTGTTCGGTGGATTCTACTCTGGTGTCTGCCTGCTTTGTGGGATCACACCGCTGCAGAGGCTGCTCTGGACCGCCTGTCTTTAGAACCCAGATGCCTCCTTTTGTATTTGGGGGAAGTACCAGGAGAAGCCACCAAGTGCTGCAAGGCCCCCAGGACGGAGGAAGCCAACTTTCCAGGCTGCTGGAGGTGGCAGAGGGCAGCAGGGCTTGGGAGGACTCCAGGAAAGCCCACTGGCCGGGAAGTCACATCTGCTCCAGCACCTACAGGGCCAAGGGCACCGCGTTTCTGGGGACCAGAAGGAGTGCAGTGCTGCCTGTGGTGGGGGGGTGGGGGCGGCGCAGGGGCACCTACCAGCGTGACTGCCCCTGGATAAAAGAGGTCCCAGCAATGTCCCGGAGAGGAGACCACTGCAACCATGCCAGAT